ATGCAGTGCTGAGAGTGAATGCTGTCAACCATCATGCAGTGCTGAGAGTGAATGCAGTCAACCATCATACAGTGCTGAGAGTGAATGCAGTCAACCAGCAATCAGTGCTGAGAGTGAATGCAGTCTACCATCATACGGTTCTGAGAGTGAATGCAGTCAACCATCATGCAGTGCTGAGAGTGAACGCAGTCAACCATCATGCCGTGCTGAGAGTGAATGCAGTCTACCATCATACAGTGATAGGAGTGAATGCAGTCAACCATCAACCAGTGCTGAGAGTGAATGCAGTCAACCATTATACAGTGCTGAGTAAATGCAGTTAACCATCATGCAGTGCTGAGAGATAGTGAATGCAGTCAACCATCATGCAGTGCTCAAAGTGAATGCAGTCAACCATCATACAGTACTGAACTGAATGCAGTCAACCATCATACAGTGCGAAGACTGGATGCAGTCAACCATCATACAGTGCTGAGAGTGAATGCAGTCAACCATCATGCAGTGCTGAGAGTGAATGCAGTCAACCATCATGCAGTGCTGGGAGTGAATGCAGTCAACCATCATGCAGTGCTGAGAGTGAATGCAGTCAACCATCATGCAGTGCTGAGAGTGAATGCAGTCAACCATCATACAGTGCTGAGAGTGAATGCAGCCAAACATCATGCAGTGCTGGGTGTTTATGCAGTCAACCATCATGCAGTGCTGGGAGTTGATGCAGTCAACCATCACGCAGTGCTGCGAGTGAATGCAGCCAACCATCACACAGTGCTGAGAGTGAATGCAGTCAACCATCATGCAGTGTGAAGACTGAATGCAGTCAACCATCATACAGTGCTGAGAGTGAATGCTGTCAACCATCATGCAGTGCTGAGAGTGAATGCAGTCAACCATCATGCAGTGCTGAGAGTGAATGCAGTCAACCATCATACAGTGCTGAGAGTGAATGCAGTCAACCATCATATGGCGCTGAGAGTGAATGCAGTCAACCATCATGCAGTGTGAAGACTGAATGCAGTCAACCATCATA